AGATGGTTTGGGGTGAGCTGGACCGCAGAGTGAAGGCAAAGGGGCCAACAAGTGCTAAACACCTCTGGGAACTCCTTCAAGACTGTTGGAAAACCATTTCAGGTGACTACCTCTTGAAGCTCATAGAGAGAATGCCAAGAGTGTGCAAAGCAGTAATCAGAGCAAAGGGTGGCTATTTTGAAGAAACTAGAATATAAAACATGTTTTCAGTTATTTCACCTTTTTTGGTTAAGTACATAACTCCACATGTGTTCATTCATAGTTTTGATGCCTTCAGTGAGAATCTACAATGTAAATAGTCATGAAAATAAAGAAAACGCATTGAATGAGAAGGTGTGTCCAGACTTTTGGCCTGTACTGTAAGTAGCTACATGCCCATTAGCCACTTAGCACAATCATTACTGCTTTGCCGACAGCATAATTAACAGGCGGCTCACTCAGTGTGTGACGTTCGCTTGTAGATAAAATATAGGCCTATATGGCTTAATTCTTTCTCAGACCTTGAACTCGGACCATTGTGTTGCCCAGCCGAAAACATGTAATTTCATAATTAAATTAACATCGTAAACAAACTAGTTGACTAAGAGCGCTAAATGACGACTATTGGTCAACTTGGAAAATTCTTAGTTGGGGCAGCCCTAGAAATGAACCACATGAGCAACCAAGATTACATGTTTGACACTAGCACTTAGCTTTATGTAGCAGTGTAGGCTTTGTAACGTAAACGCTTGCAAAAGCGGCCCTTGAGCAGATGACCATATAACGAAATCTCTCGTGAGCTGGCATCAGCTTGTCTCGAGAGTAGAAAAAAAACTGGAAACATAGCATTCAGAATGGTCTGAAGCCTGAGGTTTTGCTCACAGTGATTACTTTTACATAAATTTAACCTCATTATTAGAAACTTTCGCCATGTTCAATATGAGCGTCTGATATTTTAATATTATATGACAGAAAATAAGGAAAAGCAAAAGCTTCCCTTTAATCACTGTTTGGGTAAATTTAAAGTATAAGATGGGACTCTGACTCGATCTGGAACTAAAAACTTGATCGGGACATCCCTAGTTATTGGCACAAATCTAGCTTATATAAAGGTGCTTCTTGTTTTGAATATATTTTGGTATCATTTATTCAAAAAACTGAATCAGGAATCAGAGCCAGTATTTGATTACAACCAGAACTAATAAGCAGAAGTGGAATTCCAATGTGAAAATCTGTCATTTAGTGTCCAAAAGTTTTAATGTTGTGGTTAGAAAATCAGGGTTCAAGAGGTTTAAGTGTCATGTTACTGCTGACAGAGCTCCAATTAGAATTCTTAATTATAATCCCCCACTCCAAACATCTCACAAACTGTGGATGAAAGTCACAAGCTAACTTTATAAGGCTTGCCAATGTTAATCTTTGATCAGAGGCCAGTATTAGGTGACCTCTTCCTCCATTTGGCCTTCATGGTGATGGAGGGGCACCATGTGTTCTGCACAGCCACACATATAAATACAGCGCTCAGAGGACAAATCAGCAAAACCTCAGTCCAACTCCTCCTCCTCCTCCTCCTCCTCTTACATCCCTATACATACACCCAATCAGTAGACATTTTAAAGACGTGTCTAAAAAAAGAAGTAACTAAGAAGTAAAAACAAAGAGACAGCTATCCGTCCAGTAAAAACTAGTGCCAGGGCACCATCTGCTCATCCGTTCAGTGGAAGTGGTGGCTTCCAGGGCAGTTAAAGACAACGCAGGAAGATTGAGGAGAAGGGGCTCCCTTTGAACGCTGTGAACGAGCAGGGGAATTAAGTTTGAACAGAAAGAGTCCCGGCAGAAGGCTACCAGCCAAGCCAAGCGGTAGCAGGAAGCGGGCGCCTTGTGTGTCACGAGATTTACGGTGACGGGTCCATCCACCAACCATCTGGGCCAGCATAAATTAATCTAACCAGATTGCAAAGAAAGGGCAGGGAAAAAGTTGTACTATGTTGAGAAAACACAGCAGGAAAGGGCAATTATCACTCCTCCAAACAGAGGCAAAGATGAGAGGATTAAACATGGAATGACAAAGGAATAAAAGATTTTTTTTAAGTCATCAACTCTAGAATGTGAAAAGATAGATGAGGAGAAAGACAGAAAAGAGCTCAGGGAGAGGGAGGAATGGAAAAAAAAGAAGTGACAGTTGGCGATGGGAGAGCAAGGTTGAAGATTCTGTCCGTAATTCTCTCTCTGACACACACACACTTTCTTTCATTCTTTGTTGATGTCTCTAAGCCACAACTGACATCACTGTCTACCACTGCGGAGGACAACGGTCCCAGCCATGAGAAGTGACCAATCACAAGAGGCGAGTTGTGTATAAGAGTGCATAAGCAGTTGTGTCTGTTGTCACAGCTGAAGTTGTCCAATCTTCCCGCAGCTCTTCGGCATGTTTACCTTCATAGATAAGACTTGCGGGTCTGTTACACTCTAACCTCTGCGCTACTTTTTCAGGAAAAATAAGTGACTGATGAATGTTATGAAAGCAATCTGAAAGTACAGCTTGATGCCCTGATTGTTTCAGAAGAACACAGAAGAACGCTCAGTCGCATGCTTCCCTCTGTGTGTCTGTTTTAAACGGCTTTTTAATTTTCCATTTCCTGCCAAATTAAGTGAATTGACCCTAAACAATGAGTCACTAAATGCTGGCCAGGCAACAAAACTCTCAGATTTCAAGAGCAAACAAAGTCAGTCACCTACTGCTGTGATACCTTGAGCCAAATTAAACAAGCAATCATTTATATTGGTGATAAGAGGAGGTACTGGCCAAGAAAGTGGACTGATATGTGGTTATTTAATGCTAATAATAAAGCCAAATTGTTGCATTATACCACAACTCACTATGAAGTGTGACAAGGAATGCATAACCCTTTTTACATGTAGCTCATAAAACTTTCATAAAACTTTTATATTAGTGATATCGAATGATAAATTGCACTTTTTTCCACAAAATGTAAACCTTATGTTTGAGAAGGTGCTGTCATGTGCAAAAAAACTCATGACATTACACAGTGGCTCTCATGAATTCATTTTTTTAGTTGATGCATTCACTCATTGTTGGCCTTTAAGGCCCTAGTGGCTGTGAGGAGTCATGGCAGTCTCTACAGATAATACATTGTACAGTGATAGTTCAGTTATACCTCCCTCAGAGACACCTCTGTCACAGCGTCGGTGTGAGGGACAGTAAAAAGGTACACAACTTCATAATGACCACAGAGTAAAAAACACGCACATGTCCACAACAAAATGGAGAAAGCAATTCAAATCCTCCTTGTGACTATCACTTAATTACATTTGAATCCCATAGATAGCCATATCTAAATTCACAGAACTTTTCTGCAACTCCCCAGCAGTGCCTAACTATGCATAAGATTGATTGGCAGTCTGTCACTGAGTTAAAACCGCAGACAAATCCACGGGAAAAAAAAAAAGTTCTGAGAGCAAGAGCGAAATCTCCATCCTCCAACCACCTTCAAATACTGCGAGGGAGTGAGAGGAGAGAGCGGGCGGGACTGATAACGCCCCCCTCTTAAGTTCAGACGGTGCGTATGCATTTTAACGTGGATATGCATCTCAAAAGGACAAGGCAGGGGAAAAAAATGTCATCTGGGAGGAAAGCAAGGCTTCAAATGAGCGAGAATGTCAGAAGAGAGTTGGTGCTCTGAGTTTGTTTATCGCCGTCTCAAGACGGACTGAAGAACTTGGACTGAAGGGAGAGAGAGAGAGAGTGAGAGAGAAGTGACCTGACTGCCAATGACGCCAAACCTCTATTTAAAGCTTCACCAACAGCACAGGCCTGACACTGACACATTTACCTCTTGGCCTTGTCTCTTATCAGCAGCCGGAGAACACTGACAACATGTTTATTGTTTGCAGACGTTGCAAAGATCAGATAAACGGGGTACTGTAAAAGCAGGGTCGAGGGATGAGAGGGGAGTTTCTACAACTGCAAGTTAAGATAAATTTTGGGGACTTTCAGAATGGTGTTTAAATGATGATGAGTGTTTGGCACTATGGTGAACAGCAGGTGATGACAGCTCTGCCCGCAGCACTCAAAAACCAACACAGCAATCACTCAGAGGGAAACTGCAAGCTTATCATCCAGTGCAAACATGTGTATCTTTGTTGTTCCAAAGATAAACAAGATTAAAGTGTTGGGTAATTTGAGGCACATTCAAAGATAAAAGGTTAACAAGATTAAGAATTTCATTTAAAAACTAGAGTAAATCGGAAAAAAATGTGAGCACAACTCTCTTCTTTTGAGTGTTTCTTAAAAAAAAAACAAAGAAAGAAAGAAAACAACATAAGAAAAGAAAAGCCTGCTGGGTGAATATGCAGTACAGTGAAACTAAACCATCTGGCCTCTTGTGCTTAAATTGGGAACAAGGGGAGGCAGAGAGTGACTCAACTGGTGGTCCAGCAGCTGCATCCCACCACTGAACTCAGACATGTGGCTGCATCCATGTATCTCTGTGCATTTATAAACTTGTATCTGTATTACTGCTTTTAAAAGTGTGCATGTGTATGTGTGTGCTCACTGAACAAAAGGTAAACTTACCAGGATCCCGGCAAACTGCTTCTCTTCCATCCTTCAGGACCTTGTCGGCAAAGATCCCCTGCTGCCGTCTCTCTGCCTCTGCTGCCTCTCTCTCTCTCTGGGGATGGACTCGTCTGCCTCTCGCTATCAGAGTTTGAAGTTTTCTGAGGTGGCGTTCGCTCAAGTGTCTCGGTCCCCCTCGTGCCTCTTCTGCGTTGTTTGCGAGTGTAGCTGGAGTGGCGTCGCCGCTTTGTGTTAATTCTGCCCTAATCCAGAAACTTTTCTATGCTGTGAAAAGAACATGTGACAGGCAGAGGGGGGTGGAGGGAGGGGGGGGAGTGGGGAAGGGGGAGGCAAGGCAACACTTTTTTAGTTACTTGTCCCCTTGGCCACGTTCAAAACAATTCCTCAGTCTCTGTACACGACCTGCTTTGAGGTAAAAAATAAAGTTCAGAACACACAAAATCAACTGTTTGCACCTTCAGTATACTCAGATTGGTGGGAATTAAACTTCTAAGGAATCTGATAGAAAGGATGCAGAGGGAGAATTTAGAAAACATGTAGTAACAGATTTGCATTTTGTAGCAAAGCAGCTGCCATAACAAAGTGCTCTTTTGTGTAAAGAGATTAACTGTTAGGGGAACGTTTAGACTGCCCACTGACTACTGCTGTATGACAGCCAAACTGCAAAAGAACACTCGAAAACAGCCTGGATTTGGAAGAAGGTGGCAGAAAATACTTGAACTGACTGAGTAAAATGTATCTGAAATGTTCATGTTGGCGAGTTACTTCAAATTTTTTGGATTTGATGAGTACTTTTTGCTCTATCACAGTAAATATTTAACTGCTGATGAATATGATTGTCAAAAATAACCTGTGAGATAATACTATAATAATGCATGCATTATTTTTTGAAGATATTACTTATTTGCACTGACATTTAATCAAAAATAATCAGTGGAGGCTGGTCTTGAGAAACTCAGAAACTCACTATAGGATAAAGCGCAATGTAAAAACTTAACTAATGATTATTCTCATTACTGACTGATCTATTAATTCTGGCTGGGTAATATCTCAACATATATCAATACTGTGATATGAGACTCGCAAGTGTTATCTTTTCCTGGTTTTAAAAACCGCATTACAGTAAAGTCATGTAATTTTCTGAAAATTGCCAAACTATTCTGGCTTTTCTATTATTGCCTTTACCCTTTTAGTCATTAATACTGATGATTATTTATCAAAAATCTCATTGTGAAAGCACTAATAGTCACTAATAATTCAGTATTGTTACAATATCAGTAGGATTTGGTTGAAAATATCTTGATATTTGATTTTCTCAGAATCACCCAACCCTGCTCTCGATTAATCGTTTTAAATAAATGTCAGAAAATAATGAAAAAATGCATAACACAATATTTCTAGTGTTGAACCAATAGTCTGAAACCCAAACACATTCAGTTTACAGTGATATAACACAAAGAAAAGCAGCAAATGCTCACACTGAAGAAACTGGTAGGTGTTTTGCTGGGAAAACTACTTAACACTTAATCCGTTATCAAAATAGTTGCCACTGATTAATTAATTTAATTACATTTCAGTTGATCGACTAACTTAATAAGCAATTAATTGTTTCAGATTCCAAACTTTTTTTAATCATCTGATTACATAACTTCATTGGCGCTGATAGACTGCAGTTCTTAGTCAAGTTAAGCCGTCATGTGGAGGCTGGAGCGTGTGTCAAATACTGTAACTCTGCAGCATGTCTCCCTCCATCTGACCCTTACTGACTCAGTGAATAAAAAGCCTAGACAGTGAACTAAAAGCATCCCGGCAAAAGAAGAGGAAAAAGTGGCCAAATATAGCTACCATTCAGTGTTACAAACATACAAACACACACATGCACACACTTATGTACAGGAGCCTACAGGGACTCAAAAATGCCCCGGGACATCCATCATACACAGCATGCTGCACATTGATAAAAAGATGACTAAGAAACAGAACTAGGTTAAAAACTGAACCTTACCATCCACGTTATGATGTTTGAAGAAAAAAAAACATGTTAAAGGGAAATACCAACTTCTACATCAGAAAAAAAGGAAACCAGCTCGGCAGTGAGAAACCAACTGGTGTGAAGACTGAAGTCTGTGATCAAGTCACAGTGCTCTGACTCCATCCCACTGGTTGACTCTACTAATGTATGTAAACAAGACAAGAGTTGAGCCAAGCCCACTGGGCCATCCCAGGAGGAGTGGCAGTAAGAGGTTAAATGAAACTAACTCTGAGACCTGACATGTCTGTTGGTTTATGAGGGATGTTCCCAGGCAAACAAGTAGCCTTTAAGCACAGACTTTATATTTGACACTGACATAAAGGTCCAATTAATGATGGAGAGAGAATACTGAGATATCAAGCCACATGCAATATGTGACAATCAGATAATACATTTAATCATTGTGGGCAAAAATCCAGAGTATTCTCTGGCTCCAGCTTTGAAATGTGAGGCTGATTTTCTCTACTTTAAATCATTTTCAATTGAACATATTTAGTTTTGGGCTGTTTTTCATAGGCTGAATGACAAAAAGGTTGCAGCTCTATTAGTAACTACATCATTAATAAACTTTGGTAAAATGCAAAAGAAAAGAGACACTGCTCATACAGCAGCGTACGTAACACGAGGAGCACAGGAGGTGTAGCAGCTTGGAAACAGGTTTTGGTTGTGGATGATTCAGGCATGCGTAATGGTGCTGCAGATGGCACACGCATACCAGTCTTGACCTAACACCAATCAACCAAGGATGACAGGAGGCCGGTCCGGAATAGACTGTGCTTACAAAGCTTTAATTTGAAACAGAATTCCAACACCTTATCTTGTACTACCTACAGCCAAAGCAAGAGTAAGTAACCTCTTAGAGAGTCCTGTGGTAACAATACGTTACTGGCCCCTGTAGACCCTTGTTCCTCACTCTGTCTTTTGTCCATATCACCCAGCCCTACTATGTAGCCTAGATATAAACAGCTCATTCTACTTTACCAAAAACACAATGATTCTTATTTTTAGGTGATTATACACTAAAGAAAACATACTTATTGCACTTAATTCAATTTCTGCCAATATATCCCCCTAAATCCTAAACACTGGTCCTTTAAGACCCTCATCATGTCTACTGATATGGTCCTTTAGCCTGTATGTTCCCAAATAGGCTACGTTTTCAATCAAATCAGCACTAACCAGTTAACACAGTAGGTTTTCGGCCACTCTGCTCAGTTGGTAATCCAGCCTAGCACTATCTCATTTACACCCCCCTTCCATTCTTAAGGCCATATGAGGTTCACAGGGTGGAAAAAAAAATTCAAAGCACTTCAAGGTGAGGAAAACACCAACATCTTGTGATGCATATGTAAGTCTCTGAGCAAATATCATGTGATATTTGATATGCCAATAGGCAGACTGTATCTCAGCAAACTGCTAACCTAATCAACAGTCTAATTAGTTTTTTATGAGGCTGCTTTTCAGGGGTAATTACATTTTTTTGTTTTTTTGAGAGATATGCGAGTAGAATGTAATGAAGGCAATTAAAAAACTATGAATAAGGACAAGTTTCTTAATCAATGAAAAACATAAGTAAATGATCGATGAATAAGTGGTTTAATTTATGTGGGTAATGAAAATGTACTGATACTAGGGGTGTAAATCACCAGCTTCATCACGATACGATATTATATCGATTTGTTTGGATGACGATAAAATGTTTGCCGATATCACAAAGTCTGTCACAATACGATTTTGATTCGATTTGATTCGATTCAGGAGCCTGCGATCGATATGACATGATATCATATGCCCATCTAACACAATCATTTACATCAACTCACAAAAACAACTAGAATATGATTTGACCATTTTATTTCTGAGCTCTGTTTGTTGTTTGAGCGGAGGCGCGCTTGCCCAGAAATGGTGACACAGACGTGCTATGTGAATTTCAAAATAAATGTGTATCTTTAAGATGACGATATGGATCAATGTTTTCATTTTGCAATGATATAATCGGATCGTTAATCAATGAATTGATGTATCGATGTGGATCAATGTATCGTTACACCCCTAACTGATACTGCACATTTTTAGCTACACTAGTGCCTGTCTACAGGGATGACGTAGTCTTTCCGTTGGTCGGTCCAACACTTCGGTCAGGATTAAAAAAATCTTAGAAACTATTGCATGCATTGCCTTGGAATAACAGACAATCATGGCTCCATGACATTGGATTCTGATAAACTCAACAATGTTGTGAGTGTTTCTCTAGCAAGCTGATATTTTGTGGTTTTTCAGTTAAATGTCTCAATAACTATTCGATGGATCGCCACACACTGATAATCAACTCAGAATGAATTGTAAAAACTTTGGTGATGCCCTGACTTTTCATCTAGCACCATAATCGGGTCAATGATTCAATTTTTCCAGTGCTTTGGTTAATAAAATACCTGCAAAACTAATGACACTCCCACCAGCTGTAATTTGTATTTGATGGTGATTAGCAAATGTTAGCATGGTTACATGCTTAACTAAAATGATGAGCACAGTAAACATTGTAATTGCTAAAAAATCAGCATGTTCACATTGTCATTGTGAGTATGGTAGCATACTAGGAGTTCAGTAAGTGACAGACAACTAAAACAGAAGTGAAAGAACTAGTGACTATTGTAAAGTCAAAAGTCACTAAGGTCGTTCAAGGTATTTTTCACATCCTGCTGAAACAATGCTCTTTTCTCAAGCTAAAACAATGTGTAAATGAAGTTACCCCCCCCACAAAGCTTTAGTTTAGGGCATTTTAAGGTCAGCCCTATTGACCTTGGCCATGCAATAGAACTATGGAAACATTCTGTTGGTCAAAAGAAATGGGAGGATGCCACATAGTTACACATTAACCATCATGACCATATCTTTGTTAGGGCCCCATTTTCTGGGGACAGATGATCTTTTAAGCCAAAGAACTGCAAGTTACAGGGCACACACCTGAAAAACAATTACTTTGGTTGTTTCTTAATTTTGCTGAACCATCTTTGAGGCAAAAAAAACAAGCTGAGGTGAAGACACACAAGAGAGACTCATTAATTAGTTTCCTTTATCTAAAATACAGATGCAACACCAGCCTTCTTTGCTCACACAAGTCATGGATGCTGTCCTCGATTTTCACTCCACATCTACACGGGAGAAGCATGGGGTCCCTGTGTACAACACAGTGGGTTCAAGACAAAATAGCATCCATTATTGCTATTTACAA